CCCCAAAACCCCAAAACCCCAAAACCCCAAAACCCCAAAACCCCAAAACCCCAATAAACTATTTAACAGTTGAAATTTTAATATAAAAAATAAAATAGTAATGAATTTTGGCTCAAAAAGTCCGGAATTTTATCCTAAGTATGCCCATTATGGATCTGATGGCCAAGGAAGAGACTCATATATCCTTAAGAACAATGGAGGCCTGTGAAATGAACCTAGTAGGCCAGTATTTGAATCAACCATGTATTCAAGAGTGAAGCCTCGTAAGATTTTTATTTAATAACAAACACTGAAGGATTCTTCTGTTATTAACAACTAGTTTTAATAAGTAAAATTTATACTTTATTGAGACTTACCAATTTTGAGGTGTATTCAATACCATTTTATTATATCTCCTTATTACCTCAAACTCTTGAAGTAGAAAAATATCCTTTTCATAAGAATCTTTCAATGGTATAGACACTATGGGGAAAGCACCCTTGAGAGATGCTACATCATTCAAGTACATCTCAGATGGAAGTGGAAGAGATTTTTACATCACGCATAACTCTGGAGGACTAGAAGCCCCTTATTTTCCAGGCACAAGACCTTCAGAGTCCCATTTCATCACTTCTTTAAGATCAGGAAATAAGCACATGGGCCAGAAAAAGATGATCACACCTGCGGAGAGACAAAAAATGAAGAAGTGCCAGTCAGCGCAACGTCTCCTTGTACAAAGACTCACTGCTTCTTCCAAGGAATGGAGAGAGATTTCGAGATATAACAAGATGAAATCCCTCTCAAGAGAAAGAGAACTAAAGTCCCCTACAGCAGCTAATCAAGATAAGTTGCTGGAGTATCAAACTATCAGAAATGAAACGCTTAAGAGACCGATGCTTATGTACAGCCACATAAATGGAAGCACTGGCATGAATGAAGATGGAGGTCACTATCTCTTCCCTGTACAAGCCAAATCCACTCGAAATTTGGTAAGATCCTTATCATACTTCTAGAACTTAAAAGATAAAATACATCCGCTAATGTTTGGGAACACTACAAATACTAAATCTGGGATGAGTCTTCTTAAACCTAATAACAATGAAACTACCAAAAGAAAGCGTTCAATGTTTTTTAAAAGAAATTCAGGGTAATTTGAAACGGTTCTTAAGAGTTTACTCTTATAGGTACCAAGGAAAACCTTCAGGAGAGGATTTTAACTACAAGACGCTTGTTTCAAAATAAGAACTCTAAATTACAACAGTCTCAGAAATCCTCGATGGCTTCTAGAAGGAACTCTTTAATCTCAGGAAAACGTAAGGTCTAAAAACAGTCTTTAAAATAATGTCTAGTAGACATGTTGATAAAAGTGTTGGGGTTTAAGATATCTTACATTGTTGTCTAATGTCTGTATAGTGTTGATACATAAGAACAAACAGCAGCAGAAACCATCAGCTCAGAAATATGATCGTTTTAACTATTTGTAGACTTCAGCGTACACTTCCTGAAAAAGTGATGAATTTTGTAAGTTAGGCGAATAATTATATCGTCATTAGTCTATGATTAACTGGCTGATTCAATATTCATATACTCTTTAGGGGTTTTGGGGTTTTGGGGTTTTGGGGTTTTGGGG